TGATGTCTTAGCTGTCTGTTTCCTGCCACCAAACAGCCTGTAGGAACAGGGTGCAAATGAACCCATACTTTGGAGCTAAATCTCCGTCTCCTTTTAGCTTTGTGGCCTGGAACAAATGCTTTAACTGAGACGTGTCTCTGGTACACTGTTTTAAAAAGACTGAAATAATAATTCCACTGCTCAGGATATTGTAGGATTAAATGATATCACACACACATATATCAGGTCCCATTCAAGATCCCCTTTCTTTTGACTGTTTAGTGGAGATGGGATGCTTCTTTGCACAATGAAGAAGACAAAACCCCCAGATCAATCCCTTTTCTGTCACTGAAGGGGGTGGCTATGTCACTGGTTTGTGTGGGTCCTTGCCTTAGTAATACAGTGATACCTCAGTTGTCTAGCTCAATTTGTTCCAAATTTGTGTTCAAACACCGAAAAGTTTAAGAACTGAACATATTTTTCCCATAAGATACAATAGAAAACCAAATAATTGGTTCTCAGGCCCCCAAATTACATTTATAAATTCATTTTTCTAGGACTTTAACAAATTTTGAAATGATTTCTTTAACTCTTTCGTAGTTTTCCTCTTAGCTTTACTGTTGGTATCACTAACTTTCTTTGGAGCCATGGTTACGATGTTTCACGCAAATAAAATGCAAAATAAAACCACAAAAAAACAAAACAGTGACGAATGTGGTAATGCACTAATACAAGCGCTATATGTTGTCAGGGCGAGAGCAGCCCTGAGACTGAAGGGTCAGCCTCTTGTGTCTGCAGCGCGATGTGATGCATACCAGGGATTGAACTCGGGACCTTGCGCTTTCCAGGCAGGTGCGTGCCACTGAGCTACATCCCCAGCCCCCATACAGGTTTTTTTAAGTTGGATTTTTGGTTGATTATCGAGCACAAAGCAGATTGTTTTTTGAACTCTGTAGTTTGTAGAGTGGAAAGTTTGAGCTTGGAGCCATTTGAACCCAGGTACCACTGTAATAGAAATTAAAACTAAAGCAACAAGTATGAATTACAGACAGAAGCTTTAGTTGGAAAATAAGAGAGACAATAAGGAGAGAATACAGCTTGTGTCACAGCTGGAGGGGCTGTGCTATGATGAAGAGGATCTGTCCTGGCCACCCACAAAAGAGCTGAGACCAGTTTTATGGGGGACAGTGCGGGGCTGGGGTCCAGTCAGTTAGCATCTCAGTCCTGGTTTTGTGGCTCTGGAGGAATCCTCATGGCTTGAGGGGCAGAACCACTCCAGGAATAGTTGCCCTGTTTGCTGTGGTTTCAGTCATGTGAGGCTCTGCTTTTCTGGGATCCCCATGACCACCAGTTTAGCACAGTCAATGACTGGAGACTTCCAAGTACCACCCCAGGGAGGGGGTCTGGAAGTAGAAAAAGCTGGCAATCTCATTACTTTTTGTGTTTTTCTGTCTCGAAGGGGGGTGAGTTAAGCTGGGTAAATTTTGGACTAATAAACTTTGTTATGTCGACTTTTAGATAGACACTCCCTAACTGCCTAACATACCTAGATCCAAAGTTTTGAGGAAAAGGATACAAAACGAGAGCCAAGCTTTGTTCTCCTCTTAGTTATTGGGCATTTGTAGGCTGAAGCAAAAAGTCATAGATTTAAGAAAAAAACACTTTTAAGCCCCTGACTCAGAAGAAAATACATTTCATGCTTTTGATGAGTAACAGGTTAAGGACCCAGGAGTTTGCCCTTTGTTCCTATGGTGGTCTCTGACCAGGTCAGACCAGTGGGCTGAGTCTTGCCCTATCTTGCTGTCACGTGACCAGTTATGCAAGATGAAAAGTTCTAGAATCTGGAGGGCGGTGTCACACATGTTTTCTGCATCTGGGGAGAGCATTGCTTCAATTTGCTACCTTTGGATAGGTTTCTCTCTCACACACACACAATAGAACATCTGGAAGGCAGTAGAGAAAGGGAGAAAAGGTCTAAAATAATATACAAGCTATAGCATTGGCCCTTGAAGCATTGTTAATTGAATGAATTTCCCAGATGTAGCTTTCCTGTTCTTAGTCCCTCACTCATTGAGTTGGGTTTTGTCTTGGGCTCTGCTGAGAACCCTTTGGGGTTCCAGCCTCACTAAGACTTCTTGGCTTGCAGAGTTGGCCTACGATGATGGCACTGAGAGGTGAACATGTCTTCATTTGAACCATTTCAGCTTTCCCTTTTGAAGAACTAATTATATATAAGAAAGGAAATGATGAAATCAAGCCCAACTTCATAGCCAGAACCAAGAGATTCTGAGCCTGGAGTCCTACCTACCTGAGAAATTCAGGCAGAAAGTAACAAAAGTTCCCCCCATGAAGTGCCAGGCACAGTATAATGCTAGTATAAGAACACTATAAAGTAAATATGTTTTGCCAGTTTTATCATAAAATAGAGTGATGACATAACTTGCCTGTGCAGCTAAGTAAAAGGGCTAGGTTTTGAAACTAGATCTTCCAGATTCTAAACCAACTTCTCTCACCCACTGTAAAGCCATAACCCAAAGAGGAAAACAACCACCTGTAAGGGCTTAGACAAGGTTAGAGACCAGATGAAGGGTGGAGGGCAGAGCTAAGAGTTCAGAACTGAGCAGAGACGGAATCAAAGCTAGGAGAAGCATCTTCAGGTAATCAAGAAGGACAGCAGTTGTGCGCTTCCTTGGTGTGCTCTTGACTCTGCCTCATCTGCTGTTGGGGTCAGAGGTAAGAGGATGGTTGCCTTAGGGCCAGGCAGACAGACTCCCCATGTCCCTGGCAGCCAATGCACCTCCACTAGATTGAAGCCAGGGGCAGGGATGGCTTCAGGCTGCCCAGAAAAGAAGATCCCTGAAAAGGAAGGTGTGTGCAGAGCTGTAGAGCAGCGTCGCAGATTCGAGGTTCTGGGTGCTCATGCTTTGAAGTCAGACTATTTGCTAGCTAGGTGACCATAAGTCGTTACTTAATTTTCTCAAGACTATTTAGTCATTTGTAAGATAGAAATAGTGATTTAAATTCTGTTCTGAGACTCAGTCAGCTAACCCACATAGTATTTGGCATAGTCCCTAGAACATAGCAAGTGTTCAGTAAGTATTAGCTTTTATTGTTAGTCTCAGGTCTGTAGTCTTAAAGCCTGGACAGGAAAAGCACACTTCTCCTTGTAGGCAGCAGAATATGTTAGTTGACCTCCTATTGCCTCCAGTGGTGGATCTTGTGACACTGTGGACTTTGATCCTCCCTTCCCTTAGCATTGCCTTTCACCGGCTTGTTTATATTTCTGTGCCATTGAGAATAAACTGTAGATGCCTCATCATGCTGAGCAATCAAGTGGTGCCTCTAACCAGGCAAGAGAATAAATGACACTCTAAACATACCCATACTTTGCATTTTAGAGTTGGGATGACTTGGTTAAAATCTCAACCCTGTCCCACTTTTTAGCAAGATAAAGCATGCTTCAGAACCTCAATGTTATTCATCTGTAAAATGGGGATAATAAAATCGACTTCATGGATAGATTGTGAAGAGAACATGTTCAGCGCTCCTGGCAGCAGGTACAGGAGTTCCATTCTGAGGCTAAAGCCTTAGATTCCATCACCTCTGGCCCTCAGGCTTCCAGACCCTCTCCCAACCTGCAGCGGTTTGAGCGGCCCTGCTTCAGCAGGGAAAGCCATAAACTCTACGTGTGGCTGCCCTCTACCTTCACAAAAAGTCAGCTCCAAGCTGTGCCCAAGATCTCCCTGGGTTCATTTGATATGTTGCCACTTTGTTTTTGAAGAAAAGCTATCAGTGTGCAGACACTGGGGAGGAAGATCCTGTCATGCCGATTGGCAGGCCTGTTCCATCTCTCTCATCCTACCCTAGTGTTCCAGGTGATGCTCTTACAGAATGTATCACAGCAGGCAGCTGCCACTGGTCACTCTGGAGGCAGGGACAGCAAAACTCCCAGCTACCTGGGGACCTAGGGCATGCCTGGACCACAGCTCTGCAGTGCTGCTCAAAGGCCAGTGGTCAGGTCTGCCTTTTCTTGTGAAGGAGTTTTCCTTATAACAACTGCTAGATGCTCCTGGCCTTACCTTGTAGACAGAAGAGGGAACAGTCCCACTGAGTGAGCCCTTGCTGTGTTCTAGACACTGGAGGGGGATCTTACTCATGGTCACAGCCTCCCAGCCATGCAAGGAAGGCCTTACCACCATAGTCCCTCCTTTACAGAGGAGAAGCAGAGGTTAAGTAATTTGCCCACACCATATAGCTGGGAAAACAGCAGAGTAGGCATTCAAACAAAGTCTGCATAACTTAGGAACCCATTACAATATGCAGTCTTGGACAGTGTAAATAACAAGAGCTTAAGTAGCAATTTAGCAAAAAGGAAGTGGACTTTTGATTCTATTTGTTTCTCTGACCAACCTGGGAGTAGTAGTCATCAGATAGGAAATCTGAGCGACTCTAACCACTTACCTTTTCTGGGTTATGAAAAAAAAAACCCAACTCCTACCTTCCTTAAAGAGACAAAGTGGGGATGAGTATGATGCAGAGCACCTGTGTAGTTTGTTGAATTTGCCCACCTCAGAAAAAAATGTTTCTTGAGACAAATTTTAGATCAGAATTTGTGAGTGTGTAGCTTAAGGGCCAAATCTAAACTACAGAGATGTTTTTGTTTTAACCTGCAGTAATTTTTTAAAACTTCAAACTAGTCGTTAACATTTTTTAAATGCAGCAGGTACACACAGAACTCCAGATTTCAGAATTATCTTGAGAAAGCAGCACCTCTCACGAGCCTGGGCCTCCGTCTTCATTTGGTCACTGTTGGCCGGAGTGGAGAAGCTGCCCCCTTGGACAGGGAGGTGGGAAGGTGCTTTCCAGTTTGCCACAGTCCTTACCACCCCTTGTTACCTGGAGAGAGAATGGCAGTTTATCTGCAGTATCACCCTCCTTCAGCCAAATTTCTTACTTTAGACTTAAGAGGAAAAGAAGCTTTCCTGTCATGGTTTCATGCCTTTCTCTCTTTGCTTCTCTAGGTGTACCCTTCCCAAAGAACTTCCTTCAGATCTGCAAGAAGATCCTGTGCCGACTTTTCCGGGTCTTTGTCCACGTCTACATTCACCACTTCGACCGAGTCATTGTGATGGGTGCAGAGGCCCACGTCAACACCTGCTATAAACACTTCTACTACTTTGTCACAGAGATGAACCTCATAGACCGAAAGGAGCTAGAGCCCTTGGTAAGTGTCACCTGCACTAAGAGCACCCCAGTCATACCTAGTAGCTTGGCCATTAGTCACAGTCCACTGCCAGATGCATGGAAAGTGCCAACTGAATGCTAGATGTTAGCTGGAAGGTTGCAGACTTGGACTGGGTTCAGCAGTCAACTAAGGGCCAAGAGATACCAAGGTGTCCACTGCTACCAAATAAACTATCTTCAAATGGTTGTCCTCTGAGAGGTGACATAATATAATAAATGGGAATATAATGATTGGGGCTGGAAGAAGTAGCTTTGATTCTCAGCTCGTTCACTTATTTAATCTCTTATAGAGAGATTAAATCTTTTAATCTCTTATTTAATCTGTTATTTGATCTCATGTTATCTGACATTATTAATCAAGGATGATCAAAAACACTCCCTCAGTCAGTAAATGAATATTTAGCACCTACTATGTGCCAGCTACTAGGCCTACAAAGTCAAGCAAAATTGCCTTTGAGACAGGGAATAAAGTCAGCTCTGAATAAGAATACAATATCATAGGGACTTTGCTTTTGACACTGAATCTTCTGTTATGGAGTTAGAGGGGGTGTTTTAGAATCTAAAACATCCAGGATCAATCTCTAGTGTTACTATATGGGTGAATGGGGTCACTTGTATTTTCTTTATAAGGAATTTTTTTGCTACTGAACTCAGTGTTTGCTTTAGAAGTCCAGGCCCCTAAAAACCCCATCACTTCTCTAACAGGTGATTCTTTAATATTCATACTTTCATTACAGTTATTTCGAGTTGGCTCTATCCAGTACTTTCTTGTCCTGTAGAATAGAATAAGATTATGCCTTTTCATGCTAAATATGGCTGATAGAGCAACTAAGTTTCATCCAAGTCCATTGGAATAATGGCCAAAATGCAGGACCAGGATGTCTGCTTTTGCTAACCTGTATCTCTTTCTCTTTATTGTTTTAAATTTTAGTTTTTATTATTATTTAAGTACATTCAAGCCCACAAGTCAGATGATACCACTGAAAAGATAGCTTGTTATACTCACAGATCCCAAGAGAAAGGATCATGCCATACCACCAGCAGCCACGTGGGGAAGCACTGGGTCAGTGAGGAAATGGAGCAATGGGCAGGAGCCCTATTGGAGTTTCCATGTGAAGACACAGGCATGTGAGGGAAAACAGGCTGAGGGTGACTAATATGAATAATGTCAGCAGGCTCTGGGGCAAAAGGGCTGCCCCTAGTTGTCTGGTTCTTGTGTTAATATCAGAGCTTTATGGAGGAAGTGTTTGGGGCCTGGGCCTGGATTGGCTGGTTTATATTGGTTGGTTGTAAACAGCTTGAGGATGGGTTTATTACAGTCTCTAGGTGTTGGCTAGCACTAGAAGGAGCAGTCCTTCTGTCTCAGCAAGATCTCAAATGCTAAAGAGTCAAAATTTAAAGCATAAAAGATGTGTTAAATCAATATAGTATCTGTATCCAGCAAAGATGTTGGTGAATTTTATGTCACCTTCAGAATTTCTCATGTCACAATCAATGGTTGTTCTGTGGGAGTACATGACAAAAAACACATAGCTTTGCATCACTCAGTTATTCTGGAGCAGAGCAAGACTTTTGTATAAAGTTGAGATGTTTCTTAAATCACTGGCTAAAGGAGAAGAGAGGTAGTTTTCTTCATTTTTTCATGATGGCTTACTAGAACACTCTTGGGCCATGGACTGAGTTGTAGTTGGACAACTCATGTGGAAAGAAACAAAAATGTACTAATGTTCTGCTAGTTTGCACTTTATAAAGGCTGTTGGGTAAACAACCACTGTAAAGAGAAAAGGTTACGCAAACAACTCAGAGGAGTTGAATGACTAGAAGGAGTTGATAAAGCTAATTTCAAAAAGTATCAAGGACAAAAAAAAGAAAAGAAAAGGAAAAGTGGAAAGGAACCATGTAAATGGAGAGGTAGGGGGAGACCACTGCAGTCTCATGGATATGGCTGCTTCTGAGCATTTGAGTTCAGTTCCCTTTAGTAGGCCTGTGGAGGTAGAAGGAAAATAGCTTCCCCAAAAGCCTGCCATAAGGAAGAGGCTCTTCCAAGCACTCATACTTTCAGTTTTGCTGAGCTAAAGGAGCAGAAACATTAGATGGCTAAAGTGGAAAGTCAGTTTCTCCTTTATGCACAGAAGCATAAAGGCCATTGTAAGATAAAGCTGAGTGTAAGTCAACAAGCAGAGAAAGCCTTTCTTTGCTATCAAAAACCTCTCAGTTATTTTCTATAACTGAAGAAGGACTCCAAGGATTCTAGCACCTGGCAGTGCCAGGAGCTGACTCGAAATCTTGGGGTCATAGTTAGTCCTTAGAAAAGCCAAGATTCTAGATAAAAGCCTCTGTGTGTGCCTGGGAGAAAAACTATGACTAGATTAATCATGAATTATAAACAATGGAAGTGAACAAGAGAGGTATGTTTTTCCTCAGAAGCTTATATTTCTTTAAATCTTGCTTAAAACAGTGTTCTTCCTACGCTTACATTTTGCTATAGTTACAGAAAAGATTAATTTTAGTATGTTTTTTAAATACTGAATTATTTGAAATTATGTATTTGCTTTATACAAACCTAAACCTTCAAAACATAGGCATTAGATACTGAGAATATTTATGAGAACAGTAATTATATGGTATTAGGCTCTGCATACTTAGCATATCCAATATCCTCTAAGAGTTATGTTTGTGGAGTGTTACTGCTGTAATTATAGGAGTTGATAGTGCTAGAATACCTGATAGCTAAGTCTACTGTTGCAATGTACTGTACATACTGTGGTTAGATGTAGTATATCAAATCAATACATTTATATTTTGATTTGCATATACTAAGTACTATGCATGTACAAAGCAAGTTGCTCAGATATTCTACATGCATAAGAAAAATATGCTTTTGAGAGATTTGCAATGCAGTCTAGATTATATAAAATATGAATGTCACTCATCTTTGGTCCTTGAAGTGTAATGAAGTCAGGCATTTGCCTTCATATACTAGTGTACATTCTTTGGAATCTGATGCAACTAGGGGCCAGAAGGGCAGCAGTTTACTTTAGAACATCGGCATTCCCAAAGGAACCATGCCACTGGTGGGACATTCCTGGAGTCATGTTTTAGGATTCCACAGTGTAGAACTTGGAGTCTCCCTCATACTTCCCTTCATGTTTCTACCATGATTCTCTGGTTCCAGAGCCCACCCAGTTGCTGTTGTTGAATAAGTATCTGGCACACCACAAAAGTAGACAATTCAGTGTTATGCAGTGCATGAGACAAGACCCAAATGCTCTTGGGTTCCAACCCTGGACACTTCATCTACTAACTTGCAACCTTGAGCAGTTATTTGGCTTTTCAAAGCTGCATTTTCTTCATTGTAAAGTAGGTATGATAGAATTGTAGAAGTGAAATGGGTTACTCACATGGTAAGTGCATAAGAAATGTTGGCTGTTAAATGAGATAGTGCATTAAAGTAATTAGCACATAGTAAGTGGAATTACCTCAGTTCACCCTACCATAGTGCTCACTGCTTTTCCCTAGGTAGCCTCCTGGTAAATATAGTGAAACATATTTGTATCCATCTCTACCATCAGTTAGTTGAGGGCTGAGGCCTGTATTTTCCATAGTACCCAGTATATTTCGAATATTTAATATGTTTTTGAGTTGGGGAGAGCATTTTAAGGATATGTCCCCATTCAAAGGGATTACACAGCAGTCATTCCTTCATTGATGCCACCCTTATCTCAGAACAGCCCTTCAGAGACCCCCACATAGACATCTGCTAATTGAAAATAATGCTTCATCTTTTCTGATTTATAGGAGGGAGTGAAAGCAAAATAAGGTACAGAACAGTGAAGGATACATCATAAGTTTTAGACTGAACAAAGATGGGACCACAATCCCCAGTCATTCTCTGTTCCAGATTTCAGAGACCACCCAGCAAATGTCAAATGCTCTCGCACTGCCTTAGGGTGACTAACCCTCTGAGTTTTAGCACTGAGAGTCTCATATCCTGGGAAAACCCTTGGTACCAACACACTGAGATAGATGATGGTCACCCTATCAAGCTCCTGAGTGGGAATACAATTTGGAATTCAGAGGCTGGAAAGAAGTGAAGGCCAGCATGTCTTTTCACATAGGATTTGCCTTACTACCCCACTGGGACCTGCTCCTCAACCTGTACAGCCAGCAGCCTGGGAGGCAGGGAAACACATGCCATTTCGCTTGCTCTTCCTGCTGGCAGGGGAGGCTGGCATATTGACAGACACAGATGTGACAATCTATTTCTCATGTAAATGCAACAGCTGAAGATGACCTGAGCTCAAGCAAGTTCACAGTTGGAGGAAACGAGCCCAAATGATGCTGGTAATTGGAAAATAGGCCAGGCCTGATTGAATAAGCAGGCTGCTGTTGGCCTTGGCTGCCTGGGAGTCAGCTGACAAAATTGAGCTAATCTGAATTATCATTAGCAAGCGCAAATAGCCAGCAGCATTTTCTTGGCCTTTCACTAGAAACAAAAGCCAACTCAGAGAGGACTGTGAGCAGTGTAGTAGCTGTCAATGAACAGCTGATTGGGCCTGGAGGAGATTGGCCAGGTGAGAACAGAGAGGAGGTTACTAGTTCACATTAATGTACCTGGTGACTCCTGTGTAACTGTGGCCCAGTGCTTTCCCATTCTCTCTGCAGGGCTCCATTTCCTATTTCTAACAATGAAGGTGATTATACTGTTGCTCTTGGGTCTATTTTGTTGCCTTATAGCAAGGTGCTTGAGCCATAGAATCTTGAGTGAAGGCTGTTTCTCAGTAGGGTCCCACACACCACCAACGTCAGAATCAGGTGGTATTTTAAAATGTGCACACTTGAGCTTCCTCCTGGGTATACGAATCAGAATTGCTGAGATTAGTGCCTGATACCAAGCACCTTCAGTCAGCATCTCAAACTGTATTGTTTACAGGAACCACCTAGGAATCTGGCTCAAATGCACATTCTGATTCCATGCTT